ATGTAAAGTGCACCTTAAGGGCTATCTTTCATTTTTTTACTGTTTTTTTTACGTTCATAAGTGCCACTAGTGGTGAAAATTAAATAAAATATTTTTGATTTAGATTTTTGATTTTGAGTAAAAAATGCTGCCAACTATACACTGCTGTACAGTCGGGAATCCTGCACATTACACATTATCTCGTTAATAAGTTGCAAGAGCTGCATTGGATCTCAAATTAATATTTGCCGTATCATGGTATTGAAATCGAGCGGTTTCACACCGCAAAATTACAATGTAATTGTGAAATTAATTTAAATTACAATGTAATCGCAAAATTAATTTAAATTTACTTCAAGAGATATATCGATTATGTATTTCAAGAGATATAAATCGTGTTAATCATAAATTTTTAGAAGAACATAGGTACATAATTTAATTTCTGCTACTGAATATGAATGTTCTTTTTGTTTAACTACATGACATAAATATGTTGGATTTGTAACTTCAGATGTAAAAAAGCATTTTTTAAAAGGCAAAACAATGTGAGTTAATATGAAACAGAAATAGGGTAAATATTAATAAACAAAGCCTACAGAAATACTTCATGTAAGTTTAGTCTTGAAGTAAATGACTTAAGTATTTTAATTTAATAGTTGTTGTTGTGTAAATAGAGTGAACAATAAAGATCAAATTGCTTTTTTAGTTTTTTTTATCAATAAGTAGGTAATTAAGTAGGTACAATTGAAAAAGAACATGTTAATTTGAAACTTTTTTTATTAAATGTTAGGTAAGTATAGCAATTATGTTGGTTGTGTAATAATTGTAAATAATTGCTTCCAGTTTTACAAAGACAATATTAAAGTAACAGGCAATTTGTAGTTATAATATTTTTTTGTTAAGTGTGAAAGAAAATTAACCTAGTTATAAAGACAACGAACGCATAATCGTTAACTAACCTTAAAGGACCAATTAAGAAAATAATGTCAATTTATATGTAAAACGGCGCTACATTTTATGTTCCTTTAATTAATTTTTATTATGTATGCTAATAGAAATGCATAACTTAAACTATCATTTCTTCACCAATTTTCAGCTGCAAAAAGTCAGCGTTATCAATATTTTTATTGTCACTTTCAATTCAAATTAAAGCACCGTTAATTACTGCAATTAGCTGCATTTAAATTCAAAGAGGTTATAAAAATGTGGTCCCATAACAGCTCCTTGCGGAACGCCTCTTACGGATCGAGTTCTCTGTGGTATAATCACTTAAGTTGATATGTCATACTAATGATAACAATGACAAAATAATTGTATGTCCGTCTATGTGATTGTCTCCTATACTTTCACGCCTAAACCTTTAATAATATTTTCATTAGGGAAAAGAGATCTAAAGGCCCAAGAAAATCTACGTTTTTTTTTTGTAAAAGTAGTTTTTAGTGGGCTTGAAATAGAATACGAAAGTTTAAATGAGGAACCCAAAGTTTAAGACTTTGGGTTACTCATTTAAACTTTCGATCGTCGATTTGAAAACTTACGTATGCTTTTGGTAAAACATCAAGTGTTTGTTATAGTGCAATAAAGACAGATTTACGAGCGTAGCCGTATTCGGATACTAGTGCAGTATAAAATGGTACAAGTTCTACACGTGCCGAGTGAATTGCGACGTGAGTTCCTAATAGTGTTGCCAAACTTCTTTGTTGAACTATCGATAACATTAAAATTTAATTTATACGCAGCAAGAGTTGATGACCGTTGGGACAAAAAAGTATTGAAGTGACTTCCACGGATTGGAAGAAGTTGTACCTATAGGTAGGCCACCGACTCGGTGAACTGACAATCTAGTGAAGGTGGAAGCCTGGTTAAGAGCAGCGTCGGTCGTCGTGGAAATCCTTGGGGGAGGCCTTTGTCCAGCAATGAACATCTTTTGGTTAAAATAATTGTTACATCTGATGATATCAATAGTTACGATAGTGCAGTCCGCCAAAAGTTTTGTTCTACCAATCGGTAGTAACGATGCTATTGACACTATCGATAGGGCATCAATTTATTAAAGTATCGATCAGCAACACTAGTACTAATGCAGTCGTTGGTAAAGCGACAATGTATCGAGAGCAACCTGGTCGAACGCCTTCGATAGATTTATACGTGAACAGGAAAACAATAGGCGCATAATTGTTTACATTAGCTGCCGTGACTGGACTAGATTCTGCGGAATTCTCCAGTCTTTTCTAAAAACTGGCTAGGCTAGACAGATACTAATGCAAACATGCCATTCAAATTGTTGCTTCTAGATTACGTATAAGGCTTTAATTGCACGTTTAAATTATGACAAAGAAGATTAATTAACTCGTTGTTGATTCACTTTGTTTTATAGTCGATTTTGCAATCATTTTTATAGTCAATTTAGTTAGTCTTAAGATTGACAGTTCTGTTGTTAAAGAAAATTGAAGTGGCTAACAGAATAAGCAAACATCTGCATATTAAACGATGATGCAAATATTTAATTGAGAAAATGTGCAAAATTGCACAAGTAATTACTATTAAATTAATGCAATAGTGAGGTTCGTTATTGAATGTTTTTATGGCGGATTAACTCCTTTTTATGGACGGTTAATAATAAATTGTAGATTAACTTAAACTATTATTAGGGCTCGCCTAGTTTGTTACATTAAACAGTAATTAAAATGGCGTCATTGGTACAATAACACGCGCATTTATTGTTATTACCATAAGAATATTGCTTTTTAAATAGTCTTAATAGACTACTAAAATATTTCAGCTGGTCCCAATCCTAAAACAAAAAAAAAACCTGCAAATAGCGTGATCAGTGTCAGAAAAATAAAAAAGATGGCGCCACGAACGTTGAACAAGTCGAAACAGGGTTGGGGTGGTTTCGTACGTAGTATACTCACGCGTTGTCAATAGATGGCGCTGTACGTCGAGAGAACCTGAAACAAGACAAGTTCTCCTATAAGAATTTTATATTAAAAGCATTGTTTTTATAAGCAGGGTTGAAGTAATGCTTTTGATTAGGTGGCTGATTAATTCTGATTTAAAATTAATTAATTAATCAATTAAGAATTAAATGTTTAGAAACTTTAAAGGAGACAAATAGATTAACAGGATTTTTTAATTGTAGAGAACATAATTATTTTATCTTAAAATCAAATGGGGTCATCTTAAATATCTTTAGCACAGATAATAATATAATACTCTTTAGTAAAGGAAGTGGACTTCACCTTTTCTTAACAGTTTTAGTGTTCGCCTAAAATCCGTCTTCAAAAAATTCCAATAAGTTTTAAAATCTAACAGGATTTAAAATCCAACAGGAGTCGATCCATCAATGGGAACTATCGAGGGGAGGCCACCCTGCTAAGGGGCGGTACCCGTGGTGGGGGTCAATTTTTGGGTTCAACCACCATCAAATTATGGGGTGCGCTGTAATAAGCTGGTGGTATTTTTTCAATTTTTAAAAGTAATTTAGGAAATTACACGGTTTGTTACACTGGACGTTTGTGGTCAGTTTTTATTGATAGGTGTGTGTTTTTTGTGTGTATTTAAAGTGGTCGTGCTGTGAATTATTTATTAATTTCTTTGTGTTTAATTTGAACATGTGTTTTTGAAATTTTAATTATGATATTTTGTTTGATTTTGATGTTATTATTTATTAATTACAGCAATATCAACTTCTATATCTCTATGATTTAAAGACGAAGACATGCAAAAATACTAATCGCAAAAACAAATGACTTTTACATTACATTACGTCATACGAAGGTTAATACTTAAAACAATGCCTCCAAAGATTCTTAAACATCTAAAACACAAATAAAAACGTTAATAAATATTAATACGTGGACCCACGTAGGCCCAACATCGTTCAGGCGGGCCCGACGTAATTACAAGCGATGGGTGACATGCTATTTACATATGTTCTGACGTCATCTAACGGTCACCATTTTGAATTGCAAAGAAAAATATACTTCTTGGCGGGAAAGTGAAACGTCATGTTCAGCAGTTTTGTCGAAGTAACTTATTACTAATCTGTGGTTTTGTTGTAAAACCGAATAAAAAAGTGTTTTAATAGTGGATTATTACTTCATTATTAATTTCGTGAATGTGTTTGAGAGTAAATGAAATAAAACAGTGTAACATAATAATATCTTTTAGTTGTCACAAAAATATACTAATGATTTTTTTTACTTGACACTGGCTGTAATGTGTAAACGACATAAAGCCAAAGGAAAAAAAATATACAGTCGAATTTAAAACCTCCTCCTTTTTTAAAGTCGGTTAAAAGGAGAAATACCTGAATAGGATTGGAATGGGCTAACAAACGAGATCGTGGAACTTTAAGTTTTAATTTCTAAAATAGACAAATAAAATAAAATACGAAGTTTTCTTTCAATTGCTTCTTCCTATTTATTTCTTATCTGAATTCCTTCTGCTCGTAGTTTTCTCTTTTATGGCTTCAAAAGTGTTTAAGGCAATACTGTCCACTTCTGATTAAAGCCTATTTTAAAACTAAAAGGTAATAAAAACTTATTCAATTAATGGTGGACATTTCTTATGCAAACCTCACTCTTTCCATTTTTAGAAATTATCTTTATTTAAAAGTCAAATTAACCTTATTTAGAAGTCATAAATTAAGACCCATTGGTGAAGTACTAGTTCAAGTTAATCTGCTAACACTTGGTTTTTTAGTCTTTAGCAATCTTATTGAATGCAATGAAAATGATTATAATAATACCAGTTTTGTCCGCGTATTTTAATTTTGTCAGTCACAGAAAAACTAAATCTGAAATGAACCACTTAACTTTGGCCGTAACTTTAACGATAACCGGTGTTTTTTGTATGGATTATGACAGAATTTTGACGTTTGTCAAAGTTAAAGTAAGATGGTGTAACCCAACCTAAGTATAACGCGCGCTTTTCTGTTTCAAAAAATAAGTGTAAATATCTTCCTTAACCCATATCATCCTAGTGATCGATTAGTTGATCGGTTCACTTTTTATTTTTTTCTGAGTAAAACGGAACGAATTGATTTTTATTTTTTATATGTTGGTAAACTTGATGCCAATAGCTGTCAAAATATATTTTTGACGTTTAACAATTGGCGCCAATTTCAGTGTAGTTCGAGTGTAATTGCGGCAATTTTTAACCAAAAAAATGTCTCGTCGTAAAATGTAAGTATTTTTATCACATTATTTTATTATTCATGTATTGTTATTATTTCATACTTATTATAGTGTGTGTATCAATGTTGTAATATGTCACAATGAATGTAAATTGAATATGGGTAGATATGCGGATGTTTTATGAAATGATCGATTTTTCGATCAGTAGGATAATATGCCCGTGTACGGTTATGCATTACGATTTTGCTTTTATTTAGATATATTATTTATTTTGTTACAGTTTGTCTGCAAATGAAATTATTTCGCACCTGGAGGATGAAACGGACGTTTTAGCGGCAGATATTTTTATCACCCCACCAGAAAATTATGATAAAAGTGACGAAGACAGTGGTGATGAGGAGTCGGCCCATATAAATAATTTGTCAAGGCACCAACTGTTGGCAGAAGCTGAAATTCGGGCTACCGTTGCTTCAAATACCGGTATTTATATTGAAGACAGTTTATTTGACCATCAACCTCTCGAACCCGTACCCAGCACCTCGTCAGTAAACCCACCGCCGACGAAAAAAAGGCGCGCTCCTGCATCTAGACGTTGCTTGGAGGGCTATTGATATTACAGAAAAACAGGAAAAATATACTAATTTACCTAGTTTTTTAGAAGATTTTGAAACGCCAATACAGTTCTTCGAATTGTTTTTTGATGACGAGGTGTTTGAGTTATTGCGTTCAGAAACAGAAAAAAACGCAATTCAGAAAGGCAAGCATGGTTTTAGGGTGTCGCTGACTGAAATGAAACATTTTATCGGAATACTGTTATTGTCAGGGTATAACAGCGTGCTAAGGTACCGTATGTATTGGGAACAGCAAGTTGATTGAAGCTTTCAAGCCGTGGCATCGCTCATGTCAAGAAACAGATTTGAAGACTTACTTCGTTACTTTCATGTCGCTGATGATAATAATTTACCACCAAACGATAAGTTCGGTAAAGTTCGTCCACTTTGGAACCTTCTCAATTAGGGCTATCGTTTTTATACTTAACAGTTGGCACCCCTGGCGATTGACAGGACCTTACTCTACAGTGGCGCCTTCTTGATGAGTGCAAATGCGATAGTCCTCCTACCACTTTAGCGCTCACCAGTTGGTGCCACTGTCTTCGCTACTACCAAGTGACAGGACCTTACTCTACAGTGGCGCTAACTGGTGAGCGCTAAAACGATAGCCCTCATTACAGATGGCTGAAATATTATCCTGGCGAAAAAAACTTGAGCATCGATGAATCGATGATTCCTTATTACGGCAAACATGGAGCGAAGCAGCACATACATGGCAAACCCATTAGGTTTGGGTACAAAAATTGGTCAATATGGTAAAAGTACTAAATATTTTCTTGTTACTAATAATTCTAAATGTTTAAAAGTATATATTTTGTTTTAAAATTAATAAAAATATAAATAAAAACCGCTTCTAATTTCTCAATCACCCAACCTACACAATAGAACATTACATGCATATATATTCCTACTGATCGATTAGTCGATCGGTTTCAAAACTTCAAAANATTTATGGTGAGTTGTACCAAGGGGCTAGCACTGGGAATACTCACCCAGAACTTGGTGTGGGTGCGTCTGTAGTACTAGACCTTATAAAAAAACTACCGTCTGGCAGTTATAGTCTTTATATGGACAACTTTTTCACCTCACTGGCACTGTTGGATGAACTGAAGAAGTTAGGGCATGATGCTACTGGTACTATAAAGGCGAACAGAGTTGACAATGCGCCTTTGAAAGATCTAAAACAGATGAAGAAGACCCAAAGAGGTTCATATGATCAATGTACGGATGTGTTGTCTGAAATTACTTTAGTCCGGTACAATGACAACAATATTGTTACGGTTGCGTCTACGCAGTGTGGCGTACAACCAATAGGAAAGGTCAAGCGCTATAGCGACAAGCAAAAAAAAGATGTTGACCAACCAAGATGTTTTATAAATTACAACAAATATATGGGGGGCGTCGACCGACTTGACCAAAATGTCGGGTGCTACCGAGTATCGATAAGACTGAAGAGGTGGTACTGGCAATTGTTGATGTTTCCACTCAATGCCTGCGTAAACAATGCCTTCCAATTATATAAATTATCTCCAGCATCGAAGAACGGCAACAGTCATGATCTTTTGTCATTTACTAGGTACATAGTAAGTACGTATTTTCTAATAAAAGAGGCCTCTAGCAACAACAGCAATGCTAACGTATCGGTACCCAGATCATCATTAGCTGTGATTAAACGGGTTCCTAATACGATAAGGCTAGATGGTACAGGTCATCACATTATTACACAAACCAAATCAACCCGATGTGGATTATGCCACAAAAATACATTCATGAAATGTTCTAAGTGCAATGTGGCCTTGCACCAGAAATGTACTGTTGTATTCCACACAAAATAACATTTTTTTGNGTGGGGTTGCCCGCTCTTTTGTTTTTTACTACTACTACGCTGAATATTGTGTGCGGATTGGGTTGTCGTACAGGGGTACTACATGGTAAAATAAATCTCGGAGGCGAAAGCAGGATAATGTAGAATCATAGAATTTTCCTACTCGATTCGAACTTAACCATAGATTAACCCCAATATTAGGGTGAACTTTAATATTCATCAATCCAATCATAGGATCTAATTTAATTTAAACAGGGTTTCTGGTTTCATCTTTGTACAATCAATTAATTACTAGAATCTAAAAATTCAACATTAATTCTGATCAATTTCAATTGCTGAAAGAGGCAGTTAAAATAACAACAAACTGGACCTTTAGTTGCATAAGTTACTGTTTGGAGAATCCCTTCTGCTAATGCTACCTATGTTATTTTATTTATTAGACAATAGAACTCTACTGTTTCCTCAAATTTAAGGTCCCAAACAAGCCATTTTGAAATAAAATATTTATTGTTTTCGGGAGTCCGTCATACACTATCTTATACCTATCCTGTTACATACATTGCGCGAGTGTTTCGCTATCGGTGGCATTTCGCGCTCCGCTGGCTACAATGAATAGCGTCCAGCAATATCTGGTCCACGGATGAACACTCCGCTTTTGAACGAGCCCTGTGTCCAGTCCATGTCTTTTTCAGACGAATTCGGTTCGGTGTAAGTGATGGAGTATTCGGCTCCATTGTTAGAATGCACGTGTTGAAATTTCCAGCCGATACTAACGAAAGGCCTTTCAGGCTGCAATATCCGCAACGATTTCCCAATTGTCCTGTTCAACATGTTCATTAACAAATTATATTTTTAACCGACTTTGAAAAGGAGGAATATGTTTTTTTTCTGAAAAAGAACTTGTATCAAAATATTAAAATGTTTACCTTAGGTCTTAAAAGCCTATACAAATGGTTAGCTCCCATTGTTTTATTGACTGGCGTAGGAGAAATATTAGCACAATTAGGAAGAATAGACTAATTGCGGTGCGGAGGCGGCGTGGCTTCGCATCAATTCTCAGCAATGAGATCTGGGCGCTGCTTAATTATTACTGAAAACGGGAGATATTGATGAAATGAGTTAAGTAATTAAAAATTAAGGTAATGTTACCGCCTTTGTACTCGTAGTACATACATGTACATTTATTTTATTTCTTGTAATTTTTAGTTTGCAAAGTGCAGTAGGTATCTTACCTATCTTATTTTTATTTTTAGATTTTTTGAATAAAATTATCAGTGTAGGTCTTTTTTATAGTTTATTTTGCTTCACTGGTTTAATTGAACCAAGACTAACATAAAGGAAAGTGGGCGAGTTTATTTTAAGTTCGGATAGCAATTTTTATATCTTTTCGATAAGTTTATTCAAATAACATTTACTTAAAACCGATATTCCACTCCGCCATTCATGCAAATTTCGTTATATTCCAGTATTCCAGTCTCCCAACTCTTCAAGCCAAATTGGAAATCCATTCGATATTACTCGTATATTTTTTTTTAATTTAAGAAACTAGAAAAATGCTTACTTTAATTTGATAAAGGCTTTTTTGAGACTTTCAATTTAGAAGAGGCAATAAAAATATTTAGTTCAATCATGTTATAGATACGCTCATTAGCCAGGGTCTTGTTAAGTGAAGCATAAATTTTAAAATGCTGAGTTAAATTAAGAAAGATATGTAATTTATCAACTTGATAATTTAACTGGCTGGGCCAAACTTTGCGGTTTTTGTCTAATTTTTCTTCTAAAATTATTCAAACAATACTAAAATTAAAGATACCTTTTACCGAATTAAAATCAAAGATCCTTGTAAAAGCTTGATGTGACTAGCTTTAAACGTCATAGCACCAAAAAGGAAAATAATCAAAATTCAACCAAAATTACGCTCTGATTCCTCAACACTGAATTGAAATCACCACATCGCAAAAAGAGAAAAAATCCGCCCGGTTCGATGTCAAATACATCTGGCCCGGTAGTTAGGCGTCTGGCTACATATCCTTATTCAATATTTGACGATCACATCAGCCGTCCCTATTCGTCAAGGGGCAGGCAACGCGAACAATAAAGCCCTTCCACGTAATGCTTCAATGGACGGGAACGCTAAATGAAAATTTCCCAATATCACACATAACGCCATTAGTAGGTACCTGTTTCTCTTTTACCGTAATAGAAACATTTTCCTATAGCCGTGGGAGGAGACGAATTTATTTGACCTTTTTAAGGTTTGTGCGTGAATTATTTTTAGTAAATTGAAGTTCAGAGAACAGACACATTTTCATGAATTATTCTCATCTAATAAGATTGTTTCTGTAGTTAAATTTTGTTCGTGATAAACTAAAATAAACCTTTGCTATATTGTAATTTCACAGGTTAATAGTCAACTTCTGGCAATAAAAAAATTCTAAACCTAATTCAAACACTAACAACGATGTAATAACTCAAGAAATACCTACACAGTATCAAAAATGTCTCAAGCTTTAATCTTATATCGGTTAATCGCAAGATATATGAATCTGGAATTTTAATATATAGAATAGGTTCAATATTGGATTCTTGACATAGCGTGTCTTACCAACATAGACGAGTGGCTGGCGTAATATAAAACTAAGTGGGCGCATAAATTTCTTAAAAGATATCTAGTAGAGAATTTGCATTTTGATCTTTTGAATAAATTATAAGTAATATGAATGTAAATGTTGGATAAGAAAGTTGCATTGATAAAAATAATATAAGGCGGAGTGGAATGGTGCAAGGTGCAGTATTGGTGCGATATAGTAGGTACTTTGTGATGCTATACAGGACCCGCATAATCTAAACCGGTGAACTAATTTTGATGAATTTCAGTTTAGATAATATATGTAGATGAGATTGGTTATGTTAACTTTTAATCGCAAAATAGTTAGATCATAAGATTAGTAAATTAATCAATCATTTATTAGACCAGAAATCTTAAAACGAATATTTAGTTACTAAGTTTTCAGATGCAGATTGGCGCATCAGTGTGTGCTTTTAATAATATGTGTAAACACAATCAAAAAATTACAGTGGTTGTAACCATACATGATAGAAACAAATACAAACAAATAAATTACACTACAAAATAAACATGGCTAATGAAAAACTAATGGGATTGTTTTTGAGGGTGAATACCGAAGTTACGTAAACTGATGGCCTCCCTCGCTTTTTGCCATTATTGCCTGTTTACTTGGATCTCGTAATTTATAAGTTTATTTTCCTTAGGATTTTTAGGGAGTTCCCCGGTTGAGGTCATACCACGTATTTGTCAACATTTGTGAGAAAGTTTTGCTGTTAGAACTTGATGGCTGTAATTGTGAATATTTATCTGTATTATTTCCATTTTTAATCTATATTTTATTTATCCTGAAAGCATTACACTTATATTTACTTTTAGTGCTCGTGCCGCGCAACATTCGTTCTTAGTAAACACTTATATTCAAACAGAAATCAATTACAAAAACA